GGCCTACCAAGTTCGCTACCGTAATCTCATTGTGCGGAGTGTTTCAGCAGCGTTTTTCACTCGTTTTAAGTGTCAAAATTTGGCCACAACCGTTCGATAAATGTAAGTATTGCACCGAATTGGCGTGCATGAAAAAAAAAGAGTTGGAATGGAATTACAAGAAAAAAAAATAAATATAGGCCTTGTGTATTGTCATATGTCATACGGATAAACAAAAAAATGCCCTGAAGTTGACATCTAGACCTGCTTTTAGTTTCTTCTCCTAATACACTGATTCTGAATACGAAGTTTTAGGACGCAATGAATAGACCTACACTTTGTGCAGGACTGTCACCGCTGGGCCAGACACGAATCCTACCATGTTTTGCTTTTCGCGTTGATTGCTTCTTTTCATCGATTTAAGATTAAATCAGACTGGAAATGAACAAGAAGTCATGTCATGCGGTAATGTATTGACAACAACGTTATTTTAACGTTTCATTTACCTCTCACCAAGATTGTCCTTGACATACAAATAAATGTAACTCTAAACGCAGACGGTACTACTAGATAAAACAATCCACACAAGCTAGGGAAGCTTGTGAATCGAAGTACATCGATCGATACACCTCCATCCATGTTTTATAATTACGATATTATGATTATTATTATTATTATTATTATTATTATTATTATTATTATTATTACTATTATTATTGTCATTATCATCATTAATGATAATAATAATAATATTATTAATGATAACATTAATAAATAATAATCATAAATAATAATAATTATTATATTAACTTACCATGTAACAGTATACTTATAAATTTAACTATAAATAACAATAGGAAAAACAAATATTAGTAAGCTTATATAATAGTGGTGATAATATAAAAAAAAACCAATGACTATAATTATAAATAACATTAAAAACAAACATAACGTGATATGAATAAAAGACTATAAACCAATCTATGAGAAAAAATGAAGGAAGAAAAATGATTGATTGAAAGATTGATTGATAGTTATTTGCACAAAGTTGTGAGAGGCAATCCATTAATTTAAAGCCAGGCTCCTGCGGAATCTTTTTTTTCTAAATACAGTATATATAATTGTGTTGTACAACTTTTCTAAGACACAAAACCATATTTGACGAAAAACTCGGGAGCAGTTAATGGCATATAGGTTTTTAAATATTTAAACCTTTCCACCCTTTCCCCCTTTCCCCCAGTTTTTAAATATTTAAAAATCTGTTTCTCATTAACCGTTTCCGAGTTTTTCGTCAAACATGTTTTTCTGTCTTATAAAAATCAGTTGTACAACATAGGCCTACCAAAAAATGTTTCCCCTCCAGAGCCTAACTAAAAATCTTTCAATTTCATTTCAATAGGCAGTGCGTGGGCCTCGTAAAAATAACCTGGTTGATGAAATTATAGGTCTATCAATTTTATTTTGTACATCATAAAATTTCGAATGTGTGATTAATGTGAAACATAATATGACGTCTTTATTTCAACATTGTGACGTATTCAGTTTAAATTGAACAGCGTCCTCTTTCTATGTTACGACGTAAAGTAAAAGTGGATCGATTGATAAAATAAAGTTTTAATGCTCCAACTGTGATATTGTAATATAACTTTATAAGTACAGATGACGTCGCTTAACCAGATGAAGGATTTAGAATGTTCTTTGCCAGCTATTTTTTTATTATCATAATACTAATCTCATGGCTGGTCTAATTTATTATAATTATCTATTTATAATGTACAAGTTTATAGGCACCATGTTGCAATACGGTACAACTAACACTTTACCAGCAATATGGTAACTTCATACAAATGAATCCAAATAGAAAAGGTATATATATTTATTCATTCATTCATTTGATTAGTTGTTTAATTCATTTATTCGTTCATTGTTTTCGTCTATATCAAAAGTCCTTAAATTTATTATCAGGAAATCAAAGAGCCTATTCCTATACAAATACTATTAATGATATTACTTATATGCGGCATGGATATAATTTTCTTTACGGCTAATAATAAACAATACTATTATTACGGCTAATAATAAACAATATTTATATAGGCATAACAGCATCAAGGCGCTTAACTATTAACTTGGTAGATCTATAGAAGCATTTCAAATAGGCATTGTTGCTTTTGTGTCGGGTCCTGGATGTTAAACGCCGTTATTGAAATCTGCTGAAAGGTCACATTTGGCGCGCTTGTTAATACAATTTTAGCCTACACCTTAAATATTGTACTAACATAATTATTTCGTAAATTATAATATTCCTCATTAATTTGCATATGACATTAACTTGATATAAATAAATGTGTATTAGAATCATAAATATGTTGCAAGTGTAGGCCTACCCCTACTCATTGTGTATCAAATTTTGCAACGCAAAGATCGTGTTTAATGTATGCTAGGCATACGATGGGGGCACGGGTGAATCACCCAACGGGACAATGATCAACTGCTGCCTTTGAACGAATGGTCTCGTGTAGTTCATATTATAACCCCACCTGAGAAGCCGTTAAATATAATACAAATTGAACTTTGTACATAGTGTTTCTAGAAACACCCTGAAAATACCAACGCGAGCACTTCTCATCTGTCTCAGGTAGCTAGCATGAAAAAGAAAGTTAAGCTAGTATCAATAAGGTGTTAACATTTGCATAACGCTGAAATCGAAACCACACATTGTAGGTCTTGGCCCTTGAATTATTGCGCTTAAAGGAGATATTTGCAACATTTAATAATAAAATATAGGCAGTGTTTATTTAGGCGGTACCGAAGTATGGCTATCGTTTACAAAGCATTTTCGTAATTATTGAGGGCGCACTCCAACTCTAACATTAGGCTAGGCAAATTCGAGTTTTAGCCGGCAGAATAAACACATAAAAACACTTTATTTAACCGCACTAAACGAATAATTTTACTTAGGGCCTAGTTCTTGTAAGCGTTGAAAATATATTGCGCCATACAAAAATGTTATTATAATTACATTATTTCCAGGTTCATTATTATGTGAGAAATTAATAATTCATTTTTTTTTTCAAAAATAGGCATAGGTTTATTATCATTATTATTGTTATTAAGTAATTATGTTATCATTATTATTACTATTTGTTATGGTTTTAGATGCTTAGATGTACAGATGAGAATTGATTTAACATTTTTACTTTCTTTTCAAAACGTTTATATACTAATTTATTGTTATTATTATTATTATTATTATTATTATACTAATCGTTAATTTGATAATTATTAGGTATATTATTATTATTATTATTATATATATATATATATATATATAATATATATATTTTACTTATATTGCGCCGCTTCCACTAAAGATTGTTCAGAGGCACACTTTTCATAATGTTATCGTTAGTATCATCATCATTATTATTACCAAGTGTAATTAATAATTAATATGATTTTACAATCGAAATAAAATTGCTACTGAAGCCCAGACCATTCCGTGGGCACAACATTATAGGCCTATGTACCGTACTGTATTTAGACATTAACTTGTTAATACTATAAATTGTTAATGTTGCTAATTAGGCTTTTGCAGTGGTGGTAGTTTTTCGTATGGTACATTTTTGGCATTCTTTTATCTTAGTAATTATGCCCCAATAAATTATAATCAATTTCAAAATAATAGATTCTGTATAATTCTAATCGTTTCCTAAAGCCAGGAGATTATTTCTGTAGCGGAAGGGCCCCTTTTATATATACATTCCATTCATTCATAGGAATACAAGAAACTATTCATAATCTTGCCACGTGCCATAAGTGAACTTCGTTGAGAGTTTAGCCTTCGAGCTATTACTGTAAACTCAGCTGAAACTTCGTAAGTATCGCTCGCACTACACTTGTATTAATACAAAGGGTAAATAAAGCTATAACTAACCTCAAAAAAGACATTAAATTTAGACTTAAATTTTTATTCTCATGTCGTTTTTAAAGTGTTTGGTAAAGTTGTATGACGCTTTACAACGTCCTCTTCAACATTCATCACCACCATCACCATCATCCTTTCAAGTCATCATCAGCAACCAATTTAATCATCGTCATTATTATTGTTATTATCATTATGACCATCTTCCTTGTTGTCATACTCATCATCATCATAGTAATATAGTCACCGTCAACAAAACTATAATCATTAACGAGATCAAACAATACAGCAACACCGCTTTCATTGTCATAACTAAAACAATGGGAGCAAATCGTCCTTAACAAAAAATACCAGTAGAGCAAAAATACAAACATAAAGGTAAAGGCATAAATCACAACTAAAAAACAATGTTCTTCATGTGACGTCTGATCATAAAGTTATTTACAGCAATGCTTTTTTTATATGACATCACTTGTATTTTTTTTTTCTATTTTTATTTCTTTGAACCACGCGAAGAAAGTTCACGAGGTTCAGATTTCGTTTTCTCTATGAACACATACCATCAGCAAAAAATAAAAAAAAACAAAAAAAAAAATCGAAAACGAAATTCGTTAAACCAGGCCTGGGTCTATTAAAGTAAAACCTGAAATACCAAACAGTGTAGGAACACTAATATTCAGGGAGAATTAATTAAATCTGTGATGTCTGTCTCTTATACACACCTAGATGTGAATAAGAGACAGACCCCTACTCATT